TTACAGGATGACCTTCCGTTTGATATAGTCCTAGGTATGGACTGGGGAGAGGCAGCAAGGGCCACACTCCACTTGAGAGAGCATGAGTGTAGGCTCCCTAGCCCGTCAGGCGACGTTAAGACTGCCCGTCTGTTTCATGCGTCAGGTGTAGATAACACCCTGGCACATTGCTGTCTGAGTGCTCCTGCGTTTGTCCGATTGGTGAAAAAGGAAAAATTAGAGGAACAGGTTTTCGTAGTTTACGTTAGGCCTGTCACTGAGCCTAAGGAGGAGAAGCCCATTGACCCAGCTATTGCCAAGCTGCTGGAGGAGTTCAAGGACTTAGCTGAGCCGCCAACAGGGGTAGTGTCGCGGCCAATCCTGCATCGTGTTGAGATAGAGCCTGACAGTAGGACTCCCAAAGGAGCGGTGTACAGGATGTCCCCGCAAGAGTTAGAGGAGCTACGCAAGCAGTTAGACGAGCTCCTGGAGAAGGGTTGGATTAGGCCCAATTCATCACCGTTTGGAGCACCTGTGTTATTTGTCCCCAAGAAGGAGGGAGAGCTTAGAATGTGTATCGACTATAGGGGTCTTAATTCTATCACAGTGAAGAATGCAGAGCCGCTGCCCCGTATAGACGATCTCTTAGATCGGGTGCAGGGATGTGAGTATTTTTCAAAGATAGACCTGAAGTTCGGATACCATCAGATAGAGGTCCATCCTGATGATCAGTATAAGACCGCCTTCCAGACTAGGTATGGGCACTATGAGTTTATAGTCATGCCCTTTGGACTAACCAACGCGCCAACGACTTTTCAGCGTTGTATGAATGACCTGTTTAGGCCGTGGTTAGATAGATTTGTAGTAGTATATCTAGATGATATTCTAGTTTTTAGCAAGACCCTCCAAGAGCACCAGGGTCATCTGAGGTAGGTCTTGGAAAAGCTGAGAGAGGCTAACTTCAAGATCAACCCCAAGAAGTGCGAGTGGGCAAAGACCCAGGTTTTGTACTTAGGCCACGTCTTAGACAGAGACGGCATTAAGCCAGAGGATAGCAAAATCGCAGCGATTAGAGATTGGCCTATGCCCCGCACGCTGACAGAGTTGCGATCGTTTTTAGGCCTAACGAACTACTACAGGAAGTTTGTGAGAAACTTCTCTACCATCGCGGCACCCCTTCGCAGATTGCTAAGGAAGGAAACAATCTGGAAGTGGGATGAGGACTGCACGTCTGCCATGAAGAAGTTGAAGCAGGCGTTGATAGAGTATCCAGTCCTTGAGGTCGTCGATCCGTCCTTACCTTTCGTCGTTACCATTGACGCAAGCCAGTATGGCATAGAAGTTGTACTATAGCAAAACGATGGCAACGGATATAGACCCGTAGAGTTCATGTCTGCTAGGATGCCTTCAGAGAAGGAAGCGACATCCACCTACGAGAGGGAACTCTGCGCTCTCAGGCAAGCATTAGAACATTGGAAGCACTACTTGCTTGGGAGGCACTTCAAAGTGTATTCAGACCACGAAACTCTGAGGTGGTTGAAAACACAGGCCAAGATGACACCTAAGTTGACTAGGTGGGCCGCAGAAATAGACCAATATGATTTTGAGCTCAAGCCAGTAAAAGGAAAGTACAATGTAGTTGCGGACGCTCTGAGTAGGAGGTCAGACTACTTTGGAGCGATAGTCCATTATCTGGATATAGGGAGAGACCTGCAACAAAAAGTTAGAGAGTCATATGCGCAGGACTCTATCTACAACGACCTTCTCAAGAAAGTACAGGAGGCCCCAGAGACCGAGCCAGATTACCGCACTACAGAGGGGTTGTTATTCGAGAAGAATAATGCAGTTGACCGATTGTGGGTTCCTAATAGTGAGGAGATCCGTAGCCTGATCCTAGGGGAATGTCACGATACTGAGGGACACTTCGGTTGGCAAAAGACCTTAGCCAATCTGATGCGTGCGTACACTTGGCCAGGGATGAACAATGACTGCATAGAATATGTCCGCAGTTGTAAAGTGTGCCAGAGGAACAAGACCACCACGCATGCCCCACTAGGTCTTCTCTGACCCCTGCCTATTCCTGACCAGCCCGGGGATTCAGTGTCCATTGATTTCATTGACACCGGCGTCAAGAGTAGGCATAGTAAGAGCCAAGTCATGGTCATAGTAGATAGATTTAGCAAGTAAGCAGTTTTTATTCCGTTGCCTGCGGAGGCACGTACCGAGTTAGTAGTTCAGAAGTTCTTTGACCATTGGGTCAGTGAACACGGGATTCCGCTGTCTATAGTTAGCGATAGAGACACCCGGTTCACTAGTCAGAACTGGCAGGAGTTGATGAGAGTATATGGCTCCAAGCTGCTGATGTCATCTGGCCGTCATCCAGAGACTAACGGTCAGACTGAGCAAATGAATAAGCTCCTACAGCAAGTTCTGAGAATGTACATTAGACCTGATCAGACTAACTGGGATGAGATGCTCCCAAAGGTAGCCAGTGCCTACAATAACAGCGTGACACCTGTCCACGTGTCACACTCCCAACGAGTTACATAAGTCCTTTAGACCACGTAGACTGTTCGAAGGACTTAACCGGGATCAGATTCATAGGCTACCGCCAGGTACTAGGGAGTTCGCGTTACAGCACGAGAAGGAGTTAGCTACCGTTGTAGAGAACCTCAGGAGGGCCCAGCATAGGATGATAGAGCAAGCCAATAAGCATCGTCGCCCGTCGCAGTTTCAAGTAGGCGACTTAGTCTGGGTCAAGTCTAAGGAGTTTGCTCCTGAGGAGAATATCTCGCAAAAGTTATTGCCTGCGTATAGAGGACTGTGGCCAGTTCTAGAAGTTAAGGGCGGAGAGGATGGGCCGTCCTACACAATAGAGATTCCAGCGCATCTCCACACCTACCCCGTATTTCACGCATCAAAGCTGTTGCCGTGAGTCACAAGTCAACAGTTTCCCTCTAGAAGGTCCATGATCCCTCCGGATATGGATGGAAGATACGACAGTGACGGCATTGTAGGTGAGGATATATTCAGAACAGGAGGTAGAGGTCGTCCTCAGAAACAGTACAAGGTTCGATTCACATATCAAGAACCCGAAGACGACCGCTGGTTTACAAGAACTGAACTTCTAGAAACAGCTCCCGACATAGTCAGGGCCTACGAAAGAGATAGAAAGGGTAAAGGTCCTGCCTTGGACTGAGAGATTCTCGGAGGACCTCGAATTTAGGCCGGCGGGAGTGAAACGGTTTTCACCTTTTGCGGAGGCAGATGGAGATCCCGGGGTTTGATCCCCAGACCTTACCTCACCCATGTACAGTATCGAGTTGACCCCTGTGTGTTTGAACCGGTGACCTGTGTTTCGTGAGTTGTTGTTTGTCTGTCGTAGGACTGTGTGTATGTAGGGATTCGATCTGTTGACCTGTTGAGTAGAGGTCTTAGAGAGTTCCAGAAGTCGTAGCTGTAGATGTAATGAAGGGTCAAGGTCGTAGCTGCTACAGTCCTGAAAGGTCAAGGTCGTAGCTGCTACAGTCCCGAAAGGCCAAGTCCACAGACTTCCGGAAGGTCGGGAAGTGGCCTTTCGCAGCTTGCTCACGTCTTAGACTGAGGCAAGCGGGCAAGTGGGCAAGTGGGCAAGTGGTGGACCAACTGCAGTACGTTCGCAGTACGATAGCGGTAGGTTAGCAGTGCGTCCCCATGCAGCCAGCGGTACGGTCCAGTCAGTCCCAGTCCAGTCCAGCAAGTACCATGGGCCGATGGAAAGGGGCAGACCAACGAGGTACAGAAGTATAAATCAAGAGGCAGCGCCCAGCCATTCATTCATTCCTGCGGAAGCCATGCGGAAGCGCTGCCACGGTGACTTGTGCGAGGTGGTCTGCAGAGGACCCTGAAGTCGAAGTGGGCTGAAGGGAGTTAGCGCAGCCATAGCTGCTTGTAGACTAGAGTTAGCTGGCGGCCATAGCTGCCATAGTTAGTGATAGGTGTGTATTCGTGTGTGTGTGCAGAGTGTGTGTGTGGGGTATCCAGGGTGATCCGGAATTGAAGTGTGAAGTGAACAGTGGTGTTGGACACAGTGACAAGAGTTGCGATGTGTGGGTGCTGATGCACCATAGCCTGTTGAAGCGAGTTTGCATCTGAACTGTGTCTTGGTTTCCATATCTTCGAGCTTTGAGTTGGGCGCTATGCGCCAGTGTGATTCACCATCTGTTTGTATGCATGTGAAGTGACGAAGTATGCGAATCTGATTGCATTTATTAGGAAAAAAACTTCTCTAAATTTCTAAAATAAATAAAAAGAAATTAAACAACATGCATCGTCCTCACTTCTCGTTGATCTAGCACTTGCTCAACAGTTCCGCGACGGAAACAACTGCAAATGGTGGAAAACATCAAGGCGGCTGCTGACTGCTGCCTGACAGCTCGTACCTTCTGCCACCTACGTTTCCCTTTTTATAGCCAGTTCACGACCGCTTGTTAGCTGTGATGCAGCCCGGCAATGTATCTAGTCATGAAGTAAGATCAAGGGCACAGGTGGAATGTATACAATGGGTACAGAGATGTATCGAAGCGGCGTTGAGGGCAATGCGCCGCAAAGAGCGCCACTGTCTTCTGCCCTTCGCTATCTCTGATGGGTACTATCCGTCTTCTTTTGTTTTCTGAAAATCTTAGATCTGAATTAAAAAAAATGTGTTTTGAACTGTTTTTCCATTTCCCGTTATTTCTTTGTGGCTTTTTTTCACTGCTGCACGGTTGAGCTAGCTCACCTCAACGGGTGCATGTAGGACTTGCGCCCTCCCCCCCCCCCCCTCCCCCCCTCCCCCGTGCCGAGGGAACTGGTGTTGTTGATTGCTACAGGCTTCTAATGCTCTGACAGCTGTTGCAGTAAAGACTTGCTAGGGTAAAAGCAGCGGTGATTCGCCATGCTGAAGATGTGATGACAGCCGCATTCTGATTTTGTGCGCACTGTGCTGAAGATGCGATGCACCAGAGGTCTGACTGCGTGCACTGGTTGTTTTGTTCAAACAGGTTTATACTTCCATCTGTCGAAGAGGGTCACAAGCGTCCAGTACATTTACACTGGAAAGTCGTCTGAACAGCGACCAAGGTTCGGTGGTTCAGTAGCGATTCAATCCATGCTCACATGATTCGCTGCCTTTTTTACCTTTGTTGAGTGCTTCGGTGAATGAACTGGTAGCAGTGTCAGAGCAACACCTCAGTGTGTGCCGCTCCTGGCTCTTCGTCCTACCATTTCCTGTGCAACATGAAGATTGAATCTGATTGGGGGGAAAAAAAAGAAAAAAAAGAAAAAAAAACTTTAAAAAAGAATGGTTGGTTAGGACTCAGGAGTTACAAGTTACAACACTCCATCTCGGAAAGCGAAAAAAGTATGTGGATGTTTTGATTAACTTCGTAGCAAGTTTTACTGAAATGTCATTACAAATATGAAGGGGACTGTGCAAGGAACATGAATTTGGACGAAGCACAGAAATCCAGATTGCAAAATCACACTGAAGTCCAAGTAGTCAAAGCAAGAGCAGATAGCACAATGGAACCGAGTAACCATCCATTTGAGAACGATGCAGAAGAATCGTGATTCGTGAGTCAATGTCCAAGCCCAATCGGGCAACACCAACAACATAACCCAATGTAGCTCTCTGTCTTGAATGGCGCCTGG